GCCCCTCAGTACCCTCAACGTGGAGCACTCGCTGCCTCTTAAGGCATTTCCTTCCATCCTGGGGCCATGTGATTAGTACAAAGATTTTTCACATTCCAAGTTGAAATATTTCCTTCTTGAACTTATGTTTATTGGTTCTATGCGTTCCACTCATTCATCCATTTCCTTCTTTCCTTCCTGCCCTCCCTCTTTCCTCCCTTCCTTCCTTTTTTCTCCCCTCCCTTCTTTCCTTCCTTCTTTCCTTCTCTCCCTCCTCCTCCCCTCCAATCCATCTGCAGTGATGTTCAGCAACAGGGGTACATTCTGAGAAATCATCGGCAGGCGATCTTGCGCATCGTTGTGAGAACACCAGAGTGCACTTACGCACTCCTGGACGGCCCAGCCCACTACCCACCTAGGCCTTATGGTGGAGCCTGCTGCTCCTCGGCTACAAGCCTGGACAGCACGTTAGTGTACTGAATACTGTAGGCAATTGTAACACAGTGGTTAAGTGTCTGGGTACCTGAACACATCTAAATGCAGAAACGATACAGTAAACATATAGTATAAAAGATAAAAAATGGTGCACTTGAAAGCTGCTCCGGGTGAGTCCGTGAGGGAGTGCGAAGGCCCAGGGCGCTGCTGTCCACCGCTGCCAACTTTACAAACGCTGCACACCCAGGCTGCACCAACGTCATCAAACAGCGGGAGACGAGATCAAGCACGGAGAAAGCGGTGCAATCCAGAGACAGGGCAAACACGAGACGCAGGAGGCCGCTGCTGGCGTGAGGAGGCGCACTGTTTCCCTGCCAGCTTTTCTTTGTGGGTAGAAAGAGGACTATGAAAAAACTCTAAAATAACGATAAAACTGCAGTATAGTAAATACATATACCAACTACACAGGTGTTTATTATCAGGTATCGTAGACTATACAGAACTGGTTGTGCTGTATTTTAGTGTAGCTGGCAGTACAGGTCTGTTTACACCAGATCGTCACAAACCCATGCGTAACATGCTGTGCTACGGTGTTACGACGGCTGTGACGTCGCAGGGTCACAGGAAACTCTCAGCTCTGTGATAACCCTGCAGGACCGCCACTGTGTATGTGGTCTGTTGTTGACTGGAAGTCGGCATGCAGCACCGGATGACACTGTAACAAGCACTGGAGACAACGGAAGGATCAAGAAGACGCGGTCTCACGTCCACACTAGCTTCACCCCATGCATCCCGTCCCTTCTCTCAGCAGTGAGAGTACTATTCGGACATGCACGTGTAGTCCTGTCACCCCCTTGCTTCAAGCTCCTCGATGGCCTTTCCAAGGCCCTCAAGATGGAATGAGTTACAGACCCCTATCTGCTTGGGTCTCCGCCCACCTCTCCGGCCTGGCCCCTCCCCCGCTTCTTACCACCTAGACTTCAGCCAAAAACAGCAACTCACCGTCGCAAGCCTGAGCCGTTGTCTCCCACACCTGAGCCTTTGCACAAGCTTTTCATTACAGCCGGAATCTCTTTCCACCCCTCTTTACCTGGTTAATTCCTATCTATCTTGCAGCTCTCTCCTACCTCCTGACACTGGGTCAAGTGCTGCTCTGTGTTTCCTGATCCCTGGGGTTCACGCCTCCAACCTGGTACAGATTGCACTGCCCTTGACTCCCCAGCGCGGGTCTGTCTCTGTCTCTGCGTCCAGCTCAGGACTGGCCGGTTCTCCAATGCCTAATAGAGTCACAGTAAAGAGTTCTGAATGACTTGTGATCTGTCCTCTCACCTCTGCCTCCGGTCCCCTGCTGCAATCCCCGAGGGCTCTGTGAATTACAGGGAGAGGCACTGGTTCTCCACAGGCGGGAAGCAAGGGGCTCTGGGAGGGCACCGCTCCTTGCCACCCACAGTGAGCATGCTACACTTCTGGCATCAGAGAAGTGTCCCTGTGTGTGTGTTCCACACTCTAGTACTTCCTAAGGACCCCAAACTCTTATTTACCAACAGCAATGCCACCAGGGGCCAGGTAAGAGGCTATTTCTATGAGGCTGTGTGGTACAATGGTTACCTTCTCTGCCTGAAGTGTCCAACTTCCTGGGTTGGAATCCCGCCTCTGCTGTTTCCCAGCTGGGGACCCTTGGCCAATTCAGTTAACTTCTCTGTGCCTCAGTCTCCCCCTCTGTTAAATGACCTTGAAGAGTACTAACTCTGGGGGTCAGAATAGGTACTCAGTACTATGATGCTGGTGAGGGTGCAGTAAGGGTTTGAGAACCCTGAACTGAAATGGGAAGTGTTTTGCTTATCCAGAAGACCTGGCCTCCAGCCCCAGCCCTGGTGCTGACTCTCTGGGTGACCCTGCACATGTCCCTGTCCTTCTGTGGCCTCCCCTGCTGTTCTTGGATTCTCCCACCGGGTAGGCTGGCTTTGCCCAGCAGCTGGAAAACAGCTGTCGGAGCCCCAGCCTACACCTGCCCCTCTGGGGAGGGGCTGGAAGCCAGGCTGGCTGGGAAGTAGGCCTGGGCCACTCCAGGGCCAATTGGACTGCAAAAGCCCCAGCTGGTATGAGCAGAGAGCGAGCAAACTGAGGGGCCACAGGTGGAGTGATCACCGTGAGGGTTTTCCTAGGACCGTCCTGGTTTCAGCCTGGAAAGGTCCATGTCCTGTGAACCCTGTCAGCCTTGGGTAGCCAGGGCCACCCGTCACCAAGCACAGCAGACACTCCCTGAACAGCATCAGAACATTCTGGGGGCAATGAGGTTGATAAGGGAACAGACATGGCTCCTGACAGCTCTGCTGTGAGGAGGGCAGAGGGCTGCCCCAGCCACCCAGCACTGCTGCTGGCCTTGGGGCAGGGGAGGGGAGAGAAAGGGTTGTTGCTCTCTCTCTTTCTGCAGTGCTTCCTCCAAAATGTTGGCTGCCCCGTGAAATGGCAGCTGAGACTTTTCCAATCACAGGGCTTTGTATTTCTGCCTGGACCTCCCTTCCTCCCTTCCTTTCCTTGAAAGAAATCCTACTAATGGCTCAAAATCCAATTCAGAGGTCAGCCCCTCTTTCCTGATCTCTAGGGAGCAGAAGCCCCTCCCTGCATGCTAGTCCAGGACCCCATCCTGCTGCTGGCACCCCGGGCAAGTGACCCAAGTGCCTCTATCTCCTTGTCTGCACAACAGAAGTAACCAGAGAAGCAGCCTCGTAAGGTCTGCAGGACATTATGTGAGATAATATGTGTCAAGTTCTTAGAATATTGTCTGAAGCCGAGTAAGGAGTCGATACATATCAATGACTATAACAGGAAGGGAAGCAGCCACAGAAAAATAGTAAGTGATGGCGACGATGATGATCTGTGCTTCCGCTGTCCCCCTCCCTCTGCCGGTCCCTTCCTCTTATCTCCTGAAGAACTGGGCCCAGACGTGAGTCTGCCCCAGGCTGGCCTGAAGCTCTCCATACATGTTTGATGTATGATGTCAGACTACAGATTTCAAAAGCTCCTTTTACAGGACTCGAAAGTCCCTTTGGCAAGACAATGAGAACAAGAGCAGCTGACATCTGCTCAGCACGGACCTCGGGCCCGGCAGTGTTCTGAGTGCCCGGTACTCCCATTGCCTCTCTGAACTCAGAGAAGAATGGCCGGTCTCCCGTAGCCTCGCTCTATCAAGTGCTCGCCGCGGGCCGGGCACACCACGGGGCTCTCCAGGCCATTGATTCTCGGCGGGAACGATATCGACCCCTGGGGGACATGTGGCAATGTCTGGAGACATTTTTGGTTGGCACAGCTGGGGCTGGGCTGCTCCTGGTGTCTCTAGAGGGCTGAGGTCAAGGATGCTGCTTAACAGCCTCCAAAGCACAGGGCAGCCCCTCACCACAAGGAGATATCCAGGGAGTGTATCAACAATGCCAAGGTTGAGAGATGCTATCCTATGTGTGTGACCTCCTGTTTCATCCTCCTGATGGCCCTGGGATCAGACAGGGGAAACAGAGGCTCAGAGAGTTGTAGGCGAATGTCAGGGGGAGGCAGGACATGGTCCCTGGTAGACTTGCTGCCAGGCTCGGTGCTCTTTTCACCTCTGCTCTGGGGAGCAGACGCGGAGCGGGGAGCAGAGCCAGCCACACTCCGTTGGCGGGGAAGACCCTGCTGGTGAGCCGAGCACAGCCCTGGCTGCGGGTCACCGGAGGGTCGTGTCAGACCAGAGCAGCCTGTCCAGATCCCAGAGCTGGCCCATGGGGAATTCTTCCGGCCAGCCAGAGCTGCCACCAGATGGGAGGCTAAGCAGTATTTAATATCTGACCATCTGCAGCCAGCAGCCCCCAAACTCCACAGGCCACCCCCCGGCGTGGCGGATGAGAGGGCTCATCTAGCAAAGCTGCAACCCTGCGTGCTTGCTCGATTCTCTGCTGCTCCTGGGAGACCTGGCTGCGGAAGACGGTGTCTCACGTACCACAGACACATATGCATACACACGGCCTCTGTCCCCGGGTGCCAGGAGCTCTGTGGGCTCCGGATCCACCCACCTCTCTGTCCTATGCCTGCTCCCCCCCGCCCCCAGTGACTCTCCTGAAGAGCTGGTGGCTATGGAGCTCTGACAGAGCATCTCTTTGTCCCCTACACCAAGATGAAGGAAAAACACCAAGATTTATGCACGTGGAGGCAAGATGCATCCAGGGCGGACATTTAGAGGTGGCAAGAGGGAGAGTCTCCCTCGCCTATACCCAGCCCACCCTAAGCCTTTAGAAAGACCTGGTCCCCTCTCCCTCAAGCTCCTCCTTGATCTGTTCCCAGAGAAATACAACCGGCTCAACCCTGAGCAGAGAGTGCTGGCAGCTCAGTTTCTCTGATGAAACCAAGCCAGGCAGCCTAAAGAGTTTGCTCCCGTGGGCCCAGAACACCCAGTCGGCCTCGGGGAAGGAAATTGCATTACCGGTTGGTTTGCAAGGTTCCCCTTGCCAGCCAGGAGGCTGGTTTCCTGACCCCCATTAATTAGATATTCAAATCCCCAAGTTCAGGGCAGCCCAGACGGTCTGTGGCTGGATCCCAAAGGACAGTGGCCTGACCTTTGTTGAACGAGATGCCAAAGAGGAAAACACGGTTCACGTTCCAGCAGCTCCGCCTGGATTCTGGGCGAGTGACCTCACTTCTCTGAGCCTCAACTTCTCACCTATAAAGTAGGGACAGTAACAGTACTGGGAAGACTTTATTTTTGCCTCTTAGCATCCATTTTCCTTTCCTGATGGCAGCCCTATTTTTTAAGGAGGCATTCTACCTCTTTCTCTGTTGCATAGTCATTTGTTGGGCTCTTCCCTAGCCAGGATGGGTAACACTCAGCCTCAGGGCTGTTGTGGGGATTAGATAGGGCAATGCCAGCAACACGGTCAACCCAGCACCTGGAACTCAGCAAGGACCCAACCTGTCCCTTTGGGTGCCCCTGACGACCCCTGCCTCCTGATAGTCACATCCACATCCCTCTGAACCCGTCCCCTTTGAGTGTGGCTGGGACCTCTTGACTTGCTTCTAACGAAGAGAACACAGCTAAGGGGAGGGGAGGTCACTTCTGATACCAGGTTCCGAAAGACAGAGGCTCCTGTCTTCTTGCCCTCTCCTGCCCTTGCCTGAGTGAGGATTAAAGAAGATGATGCAGAGCGTGAACCCAGCGTGGCAGTCTCGGAGCCCTCGCCCTGGGAGAGCTGGGGCCGGGGCGGCTGTGAGCTGCGCGATGCAGAGTCCCGTGGAGAGGAGCTGAGGTCTCTGGGCAACAGCGAGCGGGGATGGGGGGGGCCCGAGGGAGCCGGGAAGTGGATCCTCCCCTCGTGGGGCCTCGAGGTGACTGCTGGTCTGCTTCCTTTCCGGGCCTTTAGGACAACCCATGGGGACTGTGGTGTGAAAGGGTCCTGTGGGCTCTGAAGCCGTTTAAGGTACAGCAGCCCCCGCTTATCCACACGGGATCCAGCCCCAGACCCCCAGCGGATACCCGACACCACCGACGGCACTGAACCGTATGTAATGTGCTTTTTCCTATGCACACACGCCTGTGATAGAGCTCAATTAATAAATCAGGCACAGAAAGAGAGGAACAACAATAACTAATAATAAAATGGGTCAATTATAACAATATACCACAATAAAAGTGAAGGCGTTCTCTCGCGATATCTTACAGGACTGTACTCACCTTTTCTCGTAAAGGGAGCACTTTTTGACTTTTCTCTCTGGCTTATCTACATGCCTACTCTCGCACTTCGGGGCCATCATTAAGTAAAATTAGGGTGACCTGAACAGGGGACACAGTGGTAGTGTGACGATGACGGAGAACCAAGATGGCTACCAGCTGACGAAGGGGCGGGGCAGCGTCCCCGGCGCAGAGACGCTGGACGACGGGAGAAATCTCGCGAGACAATCCGAGTGAAACAACGCGAGCTTTCATCACTATGCAGAACAACCCACAGTGTAAAATTCTGGGATTGTTTATTTCTGGAATTTTCTATTTAAAAATTTTTGGACTGTGGTTGATGGCAGGTAACTGCAACCGCAGGAAGCTAAGCTGCAGAGGCGAGGGGAGTAGTGTATTTGCTATTTTTCTGTTAGGTATTCCTATGGCAACTGCCAACAGCAACTTCACCCCGCAAGAATTCTCTAAGTGCCAGGCGCTTTGTTAGCTCATTTATCTACTTGCTTTTTAAAAATCCCCATTTCGTAGATGTGAACACTGAGGCTTGGAGAAATTAAGAGACTTGGACACAGTCACATAGCCAGTACGCACGGCCAGCCTGGGCTTCAGCTCTTGGTCGGCCTGGCCATCATGCGCTTGGTTCCTAGCAGGTCCAGCTCAGGCCTTTGGGGGAGGGCTCCTGAGAAACCCTCTGCTCACTCCAGGGAGCGCCCCTACCCTGTGCGGGAGTCAGTACATGGCCTCCGTGTGTCCTGCCCCAAGAGTTACCCAAAGCTGGGCCTGGTCCCTAGAGACCTAGAGATTAGGGAGCATTTGGCATCCTCTTCTCAGTCAAGGAGAGTGTCAGGGCTGCCGGTGCAGAGGCAGGGGGATGGCCGAGGTGGCTGACCTGAGCTCTGGACAGCCGGGTGCATCTCAGGCCTCTTGGACCTGAGCTCAGAGGCCCTGGCCTCAGGCTTCTGGCTGTGGGTCCCTGGGGTCCCCTGGTGGGGTGTGGCCCCCACCTGTGCAACTGGAGGACAAAGGGACCCTGCTGTCAGCCTCCTCCCTGCCTAGGGAACCTCATCCGACCCAGAGGTTCACGGTTGCCGTGACCACATCCCTGCTCCCTCATAACTCTGGCTCAGGTCCACATTAACTGATGTCGCGGAGGCCGTGCACTGCACTCACTGTTTGCAAACGGTGAACTGTGGGCTCTCTTGGCTGACTAAGGGCATTAGAGTGGGAAGCAGCGAGGCTCTGTTTTATAATAGACAATTAATGACGGGCCTCGAGGCTGCCATTTGCTCAAAAGCCCCCACATGGCCCTCTCACCCAGCGGCCTCCCACGGTCTCGGACCCCAGACCACAGGAAGGGTGTGTCCCCAGGATGGAGCAGGCAGAATTCTCCTCTGTGGAGACTCTTTCAACATCCCCCATTTTCATGTGGTATTGATATGATGGAAAGGAAGGGCCTCGTGGTGGACTTCCAGGCCACCGAGGAAGCAGACCACGGTACTATGGACTCGTCAGACCGGTAAGCGTTATTATTACTGCTGTTGGTATAGGGCCACGTGCCAGGGATGGCGCCTGTGGCCTCCCTAGATCTCATTTAATTAACGCGTCAACCATGTGAGGAAGGCACTCTCACCATGCCCATCTCACAGGTGAGCAAACTGAGGCTGAGACAAGGAGGGGGGACCTCAGCAGGAGACAGAGCTGGGCTTTGGAGTCTGGCTCCAAAACTCATGTTTTTAGCCACTCCTCCTAACTACCTCACCAGCAGGTGGTGGTGTGTCTTGTATCATCTCTTAGTTTGGAAGCTTTGGGTTTGGTTTTAAAACTTGCCTTTGCTTTCCAATTATTCCAATTTTGGTTCATTTCTAAGACAGCCCCTCCGCACTCTCTCTCTCCAGGGCCCCCTCTCTCCCCTCCCAGACTTCACACTTTCTCAGGATGGATGGCTGTTGCGGCAGAGGAGAGAAAGCAGGGAAGTAGGGCTTACTGAGTGTCGGCACCATAGGAATCATTTTGCATATATGATCTCCTGTAATCCTTTAAAAAACTGTATGCCATGGAAGTGATGTTTTTGCTACGATAATGAGATTATGAGGAAACTGAGGTAGGTGACTTGTCCAAGGTCACACAGTGCAAAGGTGGGGAAGCCAGGAGTGGTCTGACCTCAGAATCTGCTCTTCATTGTGACAGGTGGCCTCAGGACAATTCCTCTAATATTGCTCCACATCTATTTCTAGTGGTGCATTTTTCAGAAGGATGCTCAACATCCCCATCTGAAAAGGTGTGGTAAATGTTTGGCATGTGTGCACAACTCACTATGCCCACGTCCCTGGCAGACATTACTAGTGGATCACAGCACGCTTCCCTGCAGAGCCTGTATCTGAGCTCAACACTGTGGTCCAGGCAGTCATTACCAAACTTTCTGAGATGGCCTATGAAATGAAAGCCAGGTGTTACTCTGTCTCAGAAGGTCATTTTAAGGACAAGGCAACATTTCTGGTCACTAATCTCAGGGCCTCAGATGACCTCCCAATAACATGGAGGAACCCGAAAAGCCGAGTGGTGGGTAACTGGGGACTTAACTCTGGTTATATGGTCAGAAACAAGAGCCTCTGTTCTTACTGGAGTTGTTAAACTGCTAGAATAAAAGCCTTCCTGGAGGAGCACCTGCCTGAGGAAAAAAAGATGGCACAGAGGAAAGCAGGTAAGTGAACAGAGAAAGATTCCCGATGACAGCGATTGCCTGGATCCACCCGTGCCTGAAGCCAGACCTGAAACCACTGTATGAGGTGGCTGTTTCTCCTGTTAATCTGTCTACTAAGTATAATTCATTGTCTTAGGTGCCATGTAATATGTAGGTAAATAAAACATTCGTGGTCCCTGCCTTCATAATCTAGAGAGGAAACTAGACAGCATAAAAGCAAGCCAATGAACAGAAGCTGTAATTTCAAGCGATGATAAGGGTCATGAAAAAATGACATAAGGTTCAGTGAGAGAATGATCAGGGGAAATCACTTTAACTTAAATCTGAAACCTGAAGGCCAAGAATCAGTCCCCCTGCCCCTCATGTGAGGGTGGGGTGTTGAGAGGAAAGACCATGTGCGAAGGCCCTGAAGTTGAAATAAGTATGACCTGTTTGAGGATGCCAGAATCCCAACACAGACAGTGTGAGGGCCCACAAGGTTAGCGATGAGGCCAGACGAAAAGACATTAGCTCATCCATTGGACTAGAACTTGGAGATCAAGGTGAGGCATTGAGGTTTTCTATGACGGGCACTGAGAAGCAACAGAAGGATTTGGAACCAGGAAATGACAGTCACCTTTTCTCTATAGATAGATTCCTCCTGTCCCTCAGGAGACAAATAGATTAGGGGAGAAGGGGTGAGAGGAAGAAGGGGTACCTGCTAGGCAACCTGCTAGGGAGACAGGACAGGGCTCAGGTCAAGGTGGTGGAGCTGGACATCGTAGGGAGTGAGCAGATTCGAGATCGGCAGTCGGGCTGGCTTCTCTGAGGCCCCCTCACAGCGCCGACTCCTTGGAATCATTGCAGACCAGCTACGGGGCCAACCTCCAGCTTGACCCCGAGACTTTGCAGTCATTTCCAGCCACGCCTTCCAGGATCATCCCCTTACCGGCTCTCCTCTCTGTTTCTGAAGCGTGTCATGACTTCCTAATCTCAGTTCTTTCTTGTTCTTGTCAAACACCGATTTAAAAAATGAGTCGTCATTAACTCCATGCCACTCCTCACTCCTCAATTATAATTAGGCGCATCTCCCCTGCTCTTCTTTCCTCTCTCGCTCTCTCTCTGCTTTGAAACACTAGGGGAGGAAAATATTATCCTTTTTTTTTGACATTTTGAAAAATCTCGCTTGCTAACATAAATGCTATTTTGGTTGCTCTACTGCCTCGTGGGTCGCTTCCACAGCCTCACTGAGCAGCCCTGTGCTTCTGCCTGGTTTAAATGCCACACACAGACCACAGCTGGGGACACTGAGAGG